GGATAAATGAATGAGCCCCCCGGTGCCAGAGCCAGAGTTGGTTTGACTGGTTTGACAGTTGCAGAATATTTCAGAGACGAGGAAGGAAAGGATGTGTTGCTCTTTATTGACAACATTTTCAGATTCACATAAGCATGCTCAGAAGTGTCAGCCTTGTTGGGACGTATCCCATCAGCTGTCGGTTATCAACCAACATTGGCAACAGATTTAGGTCAATTGTAAGAACGTATCACAACAACCAAGAAGGGATCCATTACATCAGTCTAAGCTATTTATGTACCTGCAGATGATCTTACAGATCCAGCACCAGCTACAACATTTGCTCACTTGGATGCCACCACTGTGTTGTCAAGAGCATTGACTGAATTGGGTATCTATCCAGCTGTCGATCCATTGGATTCTTCATCACGTATGATGGACCCAAATATTGTTGGTGAAAAGTAATATTCTACATATATTATAATTTAGACATTATACAGTCACAAGAGGAGTTTAAAAATTGTTGTAGGATTACAAATCACTCCAAGATATCATTGCCATTTTGGGTATGGATGAATTGTCTGAAGATGATAAACTTACTGTTGCCAGAGCTAGAAAAGTCTAGAGATTCCTTTCATAACCATTCTTCATGAGTGAAGTCTTCTCAGGAAGAAAGGGTAAATTCGTATCACTCAATGACACTATTGCTGGATTCAGAGGTATCCCAATTATTCTAAAATCTTAGCCTTACTTGATGGTGAAGGTGATGAATACCCAGAAAATGCATTCTATATGTAAGGAACATTTGAAGATGTCATCGAAGAAGCCAAAAGAGTTGCAGCTGAAACAACAAAATGAAAGACACCTTCATTCACATTAAATAAATATAGTATTGTTCTTATTATTCACTTCATTCTTTCTCCGTCCTTAAACTCCTATCTACCCAAAATGAAAACCCAAAGATTTCTATATCCAATTTGTTTAAATTTTCAAATATTCTCTATTATTAATTATATATGTATTATAGTAATTACAAATCTACATAATCCCGCTTAGATAGTTCTGCATAAAGAAATAAATTTGGCTAATCAAAAGAACAACCAAAGAGCTCACCAAAACCTTATTAATAATAACTCCTAAAGAGATTTTACCTTTCATAAAATCTGAGTAAATTACTCAACCAAGGTCAAAAGAAAAACTCCGTTAATAAAGAATTAGTTTCAACCACTAAATATGTGAATTCAACACCAAGGAATGCCACTCCTAAAACCAATCGAGTTAATTAGCAAGTATCCCTAATTATAATATAATTATAGTATTATTTCGCAAAACAAAATAAATTGTAAACCACTCTGCGCTTATCTGAGTAAATTAGTAAAACATTACAAACTGTGTTCAATACACCAAATCATAATTTGAATAAGGAATATTCACAATCAAAATTAAATTAAACAAACACAGATAGAAAATATAATATAAACTGCTTAGATTCTAGTAAAATAATTCAGAAACTTAAAACTGAAAACGCAGAATACAGAGTAGCCACTGAGAGAAATGAAAATAACCATAAACATCTTAGTTTAGATGATTTCATCACTTAAGTATCAAAACCAGGATATTCAAAATCAAAGTTTGGGATATCCCCCTTTAAATAGGCCAAATCCTTGTCTCCAACTAATAGGGCCTTTTCAATACAAAGACGTAGCTATCTGATATATTTTAGAAAACGTTTATTATGTTTCAGCCATGTTAGAGTCAATGAGAAATTGCACCAATTAGATGGGTCAAATATTTAAGGATCACGCTATTTAAACTTTTAACAGCATTGATTTTTGTTTGAATTAATAGGAAAAGGATCTGAGTCATTTGCAGGACAAAATGGTAAAGTGGCCCAAGAAAACTACTTAATGTAAAAAAATCTTAGATTCAAGTTAATAAAACAATTGTTTTTGATCTGGACGAGACATTAATACATTGCAATGAGAGTAATACAAGTAGGTCAGATATCTCGTTACCCATAACATTTCCCTCTGGAGATATTGTATAAGCTGGAATTAATATAAGACCTTGGGCAAGGGAAATTCTGCAAAAACTATCAGAGGTTTGCGAAGTCGTCATCTTTACAGCATCCCATTAATGTTACGCATCATAAGTTATTGAATCCATAGATAAGAATAAAGTAGTATCAGCGACATTATTCAGAGACAAGTGCATTGTTACGAATGAAGGAGTTCATATAAAGGATCTCCGAATCTTAGGAAGAGACATGAAAGACATAGTCTTGGTTGATAATGCTGCTTACAGTTTTGGAGTCCATATTGAAAATGGAATACCAATCATACCATATTATGATAACAAAGAAGACAAAGAATTAAGATAATTGTATGATTTTCTGATCACTAATGTTCTTCCTTCATTTGATTGTAGAAAAGTCTTACAACAAACATTTCGATTAAGAGATTTTGCAAATTACATAAGCCCAAAAACTGCTATTGAAAAACTCTATTGTTGATCAAATATATTTAAATATTTAAATATTCAGTTGTTCCCCATAGCCAACTAAGATAAAGTATTTTTCACTCGAATATACATCTAATATTTTAGTCAATTTATTAGGATATTCCATCTCATTAATCTTCAACTTATCTTCTTTGATCATAACTAAATTATTGTAATGACTAATCACATCGTCATATTCTGACTCTAATTAAGCATCATATAGATACAATCTATTCTAAATGTCTCTAAAATAATATTAATCATCATTCAATATTAACGCTTTTGTTATCAAGGCATCCGATATTTTGAATTGATTTGTACTAATAATGTGATTATTACTATCAACACTATAAATCAAAACATTTCCAAAGTTGTCAAACTAATCAACCACAATGATATCATCAAAATATGTCGTAATAACATTACCTTGAATTTTATCTTCCATTTTTAAATGTCTAAATCCATTCATAAAAGCATTTTTAACATTCCCTATATATTGATCCCCATTATCCACTCTTATTTTTATAACATGATGAGTCTCTTAAACGTATTCATCAATATTTATTATGTTTATTTCTCCCAACTTATCCTCTCTTAAAATTTTCCAACCCTAATCCAACAACTTATATTCGTTTGAATCATTCACAATGAAAAAACAATTGTTTCTTAACTACTTAATAATTTTGACAGGATTGTTAAACAATTTTAGTTCCTACTTGATTTCATTCATATCAAATCTCACAATCCTTCCATCCCATCCACCAGTGATGAATTCATTTTGAAAGCTAATTATGCAACTTGTTATACAAATATATTAAGGGTTAAAGTGTTCTTCATACTCAATTAATTCATGCGGTAAATTAAGATTGAATTCAATTTCTTCTAAAGTACCAGATTACTGTTTCTAGGGTTCCTACATTTATTCTATGTACAAAATATCCATTTCTTTTTAGATTTTGCTGATTCCACCATCTACTTTAATGAAATTCAAGCTAGCCTCCAATTGATCTATGTTATTGAGACTGCATTTCTCAACATAATTTAAATAGCCTTGCACTTATTCCTTATCTATAAGCTTTTATTAGAATATTCTCTCGATTGGACTTTCATAATTAGAAATCAATTTGATTTGCTCCTTAATTGATTCATTAATTGGTTAACTGAATTCCTCAATTATTTTTTCTAGTTTTGTGAAATATGCATTTAACTTTGCAATTATTGATTCTTTTAAGGTTTGGTATTCCTCTAGCAAAGAGATTTTATCAAACTATTATACAATCATTATTATTTTTAATAAAGTTAATATTATTTATCATTATGTAAGGTGATTTGAGGATCAATTTGGATTTCTAAGAATAAGAATCATTTTATTCTGATGAAGATGAAGAAGAAGAAGGAATAAAGAACTATCAAATCGGTCGTTTTCATCCAGTTTTTATTGGAGAAGTATTTCATGGACGATATGTGGTGATACAGAAATTAGGATATGGGAATTTTTCAACGGTATGGCTAGCAAAGGATTTCAAAACAAATACCTTTGTGGCTCTAAAAATATAAAGGAGTGCTCCCTAATCTTAGGAAGCAGCCCTTGATGAAATTGAGATACTATAAACCATATAAAGAAAATCTCGGAACATCAATATTGTTAAATTATTGAATGTATTTGTTCACAAGGGAATTTTTGGTAATCATTATGTGTTGATTTTCGAAATTCTGGGTCAAAATTTATTAGAGTTGATAAGGAATTGTGATAACGATGGCTTAAATTTGGAATAATGCAAATCTATTATCAAACAAATTCTTATTGCTCTAGACTTTCTCCATAGAGAATGTGGGATCATCCACACTGATTTAAAACCAGAAAATATCCTGCTGTGTCTCACAACTGAACAAATTAAGGACATCGTCGAAAAGGGCCAAATTAAATAGCGCCAATATTATTCAGAATAATTGAACAAATATTCTAAGTTGTCTAAATCAGATAAAAAGAAAGAAAAAAGAAAAAGATAAAAGGAGAAAAAAAAACTGCAATCCATCAAATATAAATTATAGTAAATTGATTCCAATAAAAGGTATAACGTTTTATGATGCGTATTAGGATCTTTCAAATTAAAATTGCTGATTTTGGCAATGCTTGCTGGGTAAATCATCGTATGAGTGAAGTGATTTAAACCTAGAAGTACAGAGCTCCAGAAGTAATACTGGGTTAATATTATGGAACATCTGCAGATATATGGAGTCTTGCTTGCATTGCATTTGAGCTGGTGACTGGAGACAGTTTATTCGACACAGAATTCGAAGATTATGATACTCACCTAAAACAGATTCAAGAAATTTTGGGCCCTTTTCCAATTGAGTTTACTTCAGTCGGAAAATGTTGTAGATCATATTTTAAACATGATGGAGAATTGAGAAATGTTAAAGTTAAACATTATTGTTCTTTATAATAGCTTTTGGTTAAAAAGTAAGAAATTTCAATTAATGAGATATCAGATGGAAAATTTTGAAGCTGCTTAATTTGCAGACTTTTTATTACCAATGTTAAATGTATTTTCTTACAAAAGAGCAACCGCATCTTAAATGCTCAAACACCCTTGGATAAGTAAATAATAGTTCAAATTTCATTATTTCATTGAAGTGCCTTTTATCGATAATGAGCATGAGATTAACTCTGAAAGTGATAATGAAGACTTAGAAAAGCCTGATCTTTAATGAAAGTGTATATAATAAGTATTCATATTCTTTTGCATTTTTTTAATTGGAAATTTAACTTCTATTTTCTCATAAGAACTTTTCTTTGTCTTATTCTTCAGTTATAACTTCTAATTTATTCTGATAACTTCAATATATGAAAATAAATTTATATTAATTAGAATAGTTTATATATTGATATTGTAATGATATATTAATTAATTATAAAAATAAATTATTTTGATTCTTTATGGAAGGTATAACAGTTATTGTTATCTATTAGAACTAGCGAATGATCATCTAGTATTAGCCAAAAAATATATATATGATGGAAGCTACTCTTAAGCTGTAAAGTTTTTAATCATAATAGATCGAACTTTTGGAAGCAATAATTGAAAATGACAATTAAAACATTGAAGCCTATAATTTATTGGCCTATGCTATAAAAAACGATTTAGAGAATACGACTGATGCATATATGCGTAGTTTAGAAATCATGCACAAAGCATTAGAAGTAAAAAGTTTTCTAATATATAGATTTTGCCAAATAACACACTTACTCTGTTCAATATGGCTTCTACTTATTATGAGATGCAAGATTTTCCCTAAGCTATAAATTATTACTAACAACTCATTCAAATCAATAAGGTTAATGACTATCGGGCTTTTTTTAACTTAGCTATGTGTTACGAAAAAGCAGGGGAAAATTAATAAGCTTTGGAGATGTATTAGCAAGTAACTGCATTCATCTTATAATAAGTCCATTCGAAGCAATCCGAATTTCTCAAGTGCTGTTATAAATTATTCAAATTTGTTAATGCAAATGGGTAAGCAAGCACAAGCTAGATACACTTTAGAAAACTATCTAAAAAATAATAAAGGTGATATGAGAGCCTTGAACAATCTAAATATCATTTTAGCTGAAAAATAGATAGATTAAAAAGTTGAAGAAAATTTTAAAAAAATTAATCAGAGTGGGGCCATAACAAGTGTGTATAATAATGGTGTGTTTTTATCAAAATAAGGAAAACTCTAAGAAGCCTTATAAATTTTTAGATAACTGGTAGATAAGCTCAAAGATGAGGAGGAGGAACCACTTTTGCTATTATCTCATGTAAATCAAGGAGTATTATTCGAAAAACTAAATGATTTTGATGCCGCAATTTAAAAGTATAACTATGTATGAATTCTCTAATAATTAGATTTTAGATAAGTTTTCTAAAGAAATTAACAGTGAAGAGTTTTTATAAAGAATAGCAGAATTGAAATAAAAAGAAAAAGAAAGGTAAAAACTATTTCCTCCAAAAATAATGAGCAAAACTTAAACCTAATGGAAGTAACCTCAATAGCAACAATAACAAGCTTAAGCTAAAATAAACAATTTAAGTAAAGATATTAATAAGTTTAGTGAAACAATCTCCAGATAAATATAAGCAATAATAGCCAGCCTTAGTTCCTATTAACAATAACAATAATAAGAAATAATAATAACTTGTTCAAGTTTAAAAACAGCCCTAATAATTAATTTAAAGTTAACCCCATCCTTTTAGCTAACAACAATAAAGATAAAATTAGCAATAATAATAGCAATTTCCTCAATAAACTAGATAACCATCAGGAGTTAAAAATATATCCAATCAACAAAGCATACAAAGTGATAAGATTTCATCTTAATAACAATTTGATGAGCATCAATCAAGCATTGAGTAGATATCAATGGTGTAACCTGTCGATACTGGGTAAAGATTTGTGAAGGAAAGCTCTTTAAAAATTGATCAATAAAAAAATCATTCAGGAGACAATTCGCAGCATCAAAAGTTTCATGAAGAAAGCAGTAATGAGATGAATAATGAAATTCAAAACTAATAAAGAACAAATACAGAAGAATTAGGAAAGGCTAAAACCTAATTTAAAGAAAAATTTGGTTTTTCGGAGTCACAGCCTGATCAAGAACCTTAATAACCCAAAGAATAATTTACATTCTAAGGAAACTCAGATCCTTATAATCTATCTTCAATTAAGGAGAAATCTATAGAAATCGGAGAATCATAGAGAGTTAGGTCTGAAAAATAAAAAACTCAAGACAAGAATTAGAAGACCATTATTGATGAAGTTAATGAAGGAGCTAAACCACAGAATTCGAAAATTTCTTTGGAGTTTCAAAACAAAGAGTTAGTTGTTGAAGTAGAGGAAAACTAAGTTACCTTTAAACCAAAAGAAGTTGAAAAATAAGGAGGTTCACTTGAACAGCAGTAATTGATGAGCTAAAAGAAGGCTATAATATAAAAAAATTATAAAGAGTCCATTTAAAAATAGAAAGATAATAATATAGAAAAGCATATTGACGAAGCTTCCAAAAATTAAGTTTATGATAACACAGTTTAAAAAGTACCAAATAAAGATTCTCCATTATAATTCAACGAGGAAAAGAATAAATAAATTTAAATCGGCAATTTAGAAAATCAATAATCATAAAAGGAGCATACATAACAAATTTCATAAAAAGAACCTCAAAAAATAGAAAATCCCTAAAACTAACAAAATAATTAATAGAAATAGAAAGTTAATATTTTATTAAAGAATAAAACATCCGATTAATAAATCTCAGATAATTCAAAAGATTTATTGTAAAACTAGCAAGAGAACAATTAAGAATAAAAAATTGTATCAAACTAAGATGGTAATAAAAGATAATTTTTAAGAAAATAAAATACTAATTAATAATAAGTTAAAGAATAGCAATAAGAGACATAATAAGAACATTAAAAATAAAATGGTGACTAATTGAATAAATTAGAACAGGAAGAAAAAGATAGATTACTAGAATAATAAAGGTAATAAGAAAACCAGTAAGCTGAATAATAGAAGAAACTAGAAGAGGACTAAAAGGAGAAAGAAAGATAATAAGAATTATAAAAAGATTAAGAAAGATAACAAGCAGAATAATAGAAAAAATTAGAACAAGACTAAAAGGAAAAGGAAAGATAATAGGCTGAATAATAGAAGTAATTAGAAGAAGAATAAAAAGAGAAAGAAATATAACTAGAATTGTAAAAGGAATAAGAAAGGCAATAAGCAGAATAATAGAAAAAATAAGAAGAAGATTAAAAAGAGAAAGAAAAGTAATTAGAATTGTAAAAGGAGAAAGAAAGATAAGAAGCTGAATAATTGAAGAAATTGGAAGATGAATAAAAAGAGAAATAAAGATAATTAGAATTGTAAAAGGAATAAGAACAACAATAAGCTGAAAAATAGAAAAAACTAGAAGAGGAATAAAAAGAAAAGGAAAGATAACTTGAATTACAATAAGAATAAGAAAGATAACAAGCAGAGTAAAAGAAAAAAATAGAAGAAGATGAAAAGGAGAAAGAAAGATAGCTTGAATTGTAAAAGGAATAAGAAAGACAATAAGCTGAATAGTAGAAAAAATTAGAAGAAGAATAAAAAGAGAAAGAAAGATAATTAGAAGTGTAAAAGGAATAAGAAAGACAAGAAGCTTAATAGTAGAAGAAATTAGAAGAAGAATAAAAAGAGAAAGAAAGGTAACTAGAATTGTAAAAGGAATAAGAAAGGTTATAGGCTGAAAAATAAAAGAAATTAGAAGAAGAATAAAAAGAAAAAGAAAAATAACTTTAATTATAAAAAGAATAAGAACGACAACAAGCTGAACAATAGAAAAAATAAGAAGAAGATGAAAAAGAGAAACAAAGGTAATTAGAATTATAAAAGGAATAAGAAAGACAATAGGCTGAATAATAAAAGAAAATAGAGGAAGAATAAAAAGAAAAGGAAAAGTAATTAGAACTATAGAAAGAATAAGAACGGTAATAAGCCGAACAATAGAAGAAATTAGAGGAGGAATAACAAGAGAAGGAAAGGTAACTTGAAATATAAAAAGAACAAGAAAGATAATAAGCTGAATAATAGAAAAAACTAGAAGAGGACTAAAAGGAGAAAGAAAGATAATAAGTATTATAAAAAGAATAAGAAAGACAATAAGCTGAAGAATAGAAGAAATTAGAAGAAGAATAAAAGGAAAAAGAAAGATAGCTTGAATTATAAAAAGAATAAGAAAAACTATAAGCTGAACAATAGAAGTTATTAGAAGAAGAATAATAAAAAGAGAAAGAAAGGTAATTAGAATTGTAAAATGAATAAGAAAGGTAATAAGCTGAACAATAGAAAAAATAAGAAGAGGAATAAAAAGAAAAGGAAAGGTAACTTGAATTATAAAAGGAAGAAGAAAAATAATAAGCTGAATAATAGAAAAAGTTAGAAGAAGAGAATAAGGAAAAAGAAAGGTAACTTGAATTATAAAAGGAATAAGAACGGCAATAGGCTGAATAATAGAAAATACTAGAAGAGGAATAAAAAGAAAAGGAAAAATAGCTTGAATGGTAAAAGGAGTAAGAAAGACAATAAGCTGAATAATAGAAGAAATTGGAAGAAGAAGAAAAAGAGAAAGAAAGGCAACTAGAATTGTAAAAGGAATAAGAAAGACAAGAAGCTGAATAGTAGAAGAAATTAGAAGAAGAATAAAAAGAGAAAGAAAGGTAATTAGAATTGTAAAAGGAATAAGAAAGATAGTAGGCTGAATAATAAAAGAAAATAGAGGAAGAATTAAAAGAAAAGGAAAGGTAACTTGAATTATAAAAAGAATAAGAAAGATAATAAGCAGAATAATAGAAAAAATTAGAAGAAGAATAAAAAGAAAAGGAAAGATAATAAGAATTATTAAAAGAATAAGAAAGGTAATAGGCTGAAGAATAAAAGAAATTAGAAGAGGAATAAAAAGAAAAGGAAAGGTAACTTGAATTATAAAAAGAGTAAGAAAGATAATAGGCTGAACAATAGAAAAAATTAGAAGAGGAGTTAAAGGAAAAGGAAAGATAATTAGAGTTATAGAAAGAATAAGAAAGGTAATAAGCTGAGCAATAGAGAAAATTAGAAGAAGAATAAAAAGAAAAGGAAAGATAACTTGAATTGTAAAAAGAATAAGAAAGATAATAGGCAGAATAATAGAAAAAACTAGAAGAAGAATAAAAAGAAAAGGAAAGATAATAAGAATTATAAAAAGAATAAGAAAGGTAATAGGCTGAAGAATAGAAGAAATTAGAAGAAGAATAAAAGGAAAAAGAAAGGTAATTAGAATTGTAAAAGGAATAAGAACGACAACAAGCAGAGCAATAGAAAAAATAAGAAGAAGATGAAAAGGAGAAAGAAAGATAGCTTGAGTTGTAAAAGGAATAAGAAAAAAAATAGACAGAATAAAAGCCAATAGAATAATAATAATAACAAAAAGAAATTGTAGTAAATTAAGACTAAATACTATAACCATAGAAGAATACAGAATCATAATCACACCCATAATCTCTATAATAATCTTAATTAATAGATTAGAATGCTTAAGATTAAAATAATAACAATAATTCTTAAAAGCAATAAACATTTGGTGATTTATCTAAAATAGATTAGGAACCTGGAAAATCTCCCAACGAAATCCAAAAATCTGATAGTTAACATTCAAGAAAATTTGTTTAAGAACCCAGTATCATGATTAAAACTCCACCAAAATAATAGCAAAAAACATTCGAAACATTTAACGAAGAAAAAGTAGTGCAAGCAGAATAAATTCCTTCTCCAAAGGAATTAAAAGTTGGAAACGATATTCCTTAATATAATTAAACTGGAACTTTTGTTGGTTTATCTGAGCAATAATTACCTGACACTCATCGTAAAGAAGGGTCAGATAATTAATCTTAAGGTGAATAGCAATAATAAACAAAGCAATAAAATGAATAAAACAAAGATAAATCAATATCCAGAACATCAATTTAAAAAGGTAATTCAAGACCGCCATCATCGAAAGGTTAAGAGAAGAAAGCTCCCTTAACATTAGAATAATAATAATAGAAATAGTAGGAATCTGCTTAAACTAATAGATCGGAATAACCTCAAGATAAAGAGAAAACTCAATCAAAGGAGATAATATAATAAGATTAAAATTAAAGTTAATAGCAAAGGCCTTCATCACAATCTGGAATAAGATCTATTAAGTCTGCAGGAAAAAGGGTTGAGAAAACAAATCCAGAATAGCCTTCTTAAAATCAAGGAGATAATACCCAATAACCTGATTAAACGAATTCAGTAAAGAATGCGATTAAAGTTACTCCAAGGTCAAGACCATTATCAGGAGCAAATTAGCCAATAGAGTTAAGTCGACCAAATTCTACAAAAAACCCAGTTAAAAAAATTACTATTGAATAACAATAGATGATGAGACAAGAATAACCTAACCAATAAGATAATAAGCCCCCAGAACTTACAGAATCTTAATTATCTATAGAAGATGCAAAAAGACTCACTCAAACAATGTCTTAGTAAGATCTGCCAGTTAAATAATTACAAGAAACAGCATCTCATCCCTAATTGTAATAACAAGCAAATCCTCAAACCTAGAACTAATAATAGAATTAAAAAAGCAATTCAAGAAATTAATCAGGAAAATCGTTAATAAAGTCTGGTCACACAGAAAAAAAAGTAGATAAGCCAAATCAAGATTCTAATTAGTAATTGGAAAAAGATTAATAGTAACAAGTTAAAACTGAGGATCAAAATAAAGAAATTAACGATTCAAATACAAATAAATCAGATGGAAAAAGCAAAGGTGGGTCAAATAAAACTTCTAATGCATAATAATAACCAACTTAGAATGAAGAAAGTAAACCTTAAAGTGCTAAAGGTAAACAAAAACCAGTGACTACAGAATAACAATAACCTGTATAAAATTAGGATGAATAAGTCTTTCGTTAATAGCAAACAATAGAGTAGATCAAAGATAAGGCAATTCAGGAAGAAGTTCCATAAATTAAAGTTCAAAGTCCTCATAGTTCTATGAAGGGAAGTGAAGATATGAATTAACTCGAAGCCTCTTTACATAAAGTTGACTAAGTGGTAGAATAAGAATAGGAGTAAGTAGTAGAGCAAAATTAGGATATTCAAGAAGTCAGAGCTTCAAATTAACAAGATTAGGAATAAGCAAATGAAAATGCTATTTAATAAAATAATGAATAAGAAAAATAAGAACCAAATAATGATTAGGATGCATAAGGTCAAAAATCAGAACAAAATGGTTAGGAGGAATAAGAAGGAGTGAAGTCTTCTGATAGTTATAGATCGTAAAAAACTAATAAAGAGGGTACTTAGGATGAAGTTTTGGAAAAGCCTGCTGAAGTGTTATTAGTCCCAGAAAGTCGACCTAAAACATTGGTTTATTAGAATTCAAGTAGCCTTGAATCTTAACCTCAATAAGAGTTGCAATCACAGACAAAGCTGGGTCATAGTGATACACAATAATTTGCTGAAACACAAAAGAAGATTGCAAAAGTTATTCGATACCCTGAAAACTTTGAGGATTGGACTATAGAAGATTGTTTAAGAAGAATAGAAGAAGATCCTAATGATATCTTTCCTGTGTTCAGATTAGCTATACTTTATACAGATGATTTGGAAAAGGCCAAGGAATACCTTTTAAAAGTGACTGAAATGGACCCATTATTTGAAGTTGAAAAAGTAAACTGGGCTTTAGGAACAATTTTCGTCTCAGAAAAAGAATGGAAAAGAGCTCTACATCACTTTCGAATAGGCTATCAATATAGTTAAGATAGGGCTAAATCATATTTAGAAATAGCCAGATGTTATTAAAAGTTGGGGGAGTTTGAGAAAGCAGAAAGAACATATAGAAGAGCAATTGATGCCAATAATAAAGATTATCTACCTTATTATAAGTTAGGATGGATGCAAATAAAGAATAAATAATTAAAGGAAGGAATAGATAATTTATCAAAAGCATAAACCCTTGATTATTAGAATATGGACATCATTATAAAATTAGGAGAATCTTTAATGATTTATGATGAAGATCCTACAGCTGTCGATGAGGCTGTTATTGTATTACATAAAGGAATGATAGTAGATCCATTAAATTATGAATGCACCAATGCGCTGGCTAGAGCATATGAAAAGAAGGGAGACTTAGTCAATGCTATTAAATATGGAAAGTTAGCAACAGAATAGCCAAATTCAAATTCAAACTCACATTATTTTTTAGGAACTTTATATATGAAGAAGAAAGATTTCAAAAGTGCTGCTGAATCGTTTAGAACTTTATTGAGAATAAATAATGAGCATCCAGAGGCTCTAATTGAATATGCAACAATTTCAAGCATATAAGGTAATTTCGAAAAAGCAAAAAAATACCTGAAACACGCATTAAAATCCAGCCCAAATAACCCAGTTGCAAATATGAGATTAGGGAGAATTTATTAAACCAAATTAAATGAATTAAACTTAGCAATCGAATGCTTTTAAAAGGTTGCTAGAGTCGATCCAACTAATTATAAAGCTTATTACTATATGGGCTAATGTTATATTTAGAAAGGAGAGCTAAATAAAGGCATTGAAAATATGAATTACTCTTTAAAGCACAATCAATCTTTTGGTCTAGCATGGAAAGCTGTTGGTAATATTATGTATGAGAAGAATCAGCCAGCTAAAGCTTTGAGATATTTCTAAAAAGCCATTGATTCAGATAAAAATGATATGGAAGCTAAGATTGGATTGGGAAATTGTTATTATTTACAGGAACAATTTGAATAAGCTATTTAGATTTATGAAGAAATAAGTCATCTGGATCAAAATGAAGAATTAGAATACAACATGGCAAATTGTTATTATATGAAAAATGATTTTGAGGAGGCAGTATTGCATTATTAGAAAGCATTAAGCATAAATCCTGATAAAATAGAATGCTATTATAATTTAGGAAACACTTATTGCATTATGGAAAAATTCGAAGAAGCTTTAGAATGCTTTGAGAGAGTGGTTAAGGATGATCCCAAACATTCAGCTGCCTTCTATAATTATGCAAATACATTCTTTGTTTTATAAGATTATGAAAATGCGGCTAAATACTTTGAAAAGGCTGTTGAGTTATAGCCTGAAAATGTTGATTGGAGGTATTTTAATGATATGCAAATTTAGGAATTACGTAGCTCAATTATATATAGAAAAAGGTGACCTTAATGCAGCAAAAAGACATTTAGATGAAAGCATGAGATTGTAACCTAGGAATCCTGACACCTTAGTTAGATATGCAAATTACTATTATCAAATAGGAAACTACAAAGAGGCTATTCAAAAAGCAAAAGTATTAATTAACAATAATTATAGTAAACCTTGGCATTAGATGAAGCAAATGACGAAGCTAAATCATTAATTAGAGAACTTACTAAATGATTATTAATAACATAAGACATTTATTTTATTCCAATTATTATTTAATCAAGTTATTTTTATTAATGTATAATTATTTTATTATAATATACAATCAATAAATTAAAACTCTTATGAATAAGTTGGACGTTTTGATTTAATATATCTTAAAAATTACATGTAACTATCCATCAAATAATATTGATTATGATTGTATTTTAGTAGTTGTAATAGAGCAGAACATTAATAAGAAAATAATCTGAAATTGTTGAGAGCACGAGAAATATTTATTTGTAGTTATTAGTATTGATGTACTATTTAAAATAAAATTTACAATAACAAACTAAAAATTATTTGATATTTTTTGATTAATTTGATACTGATTTTGATTTAATTTTATATTTTATACTCATTCCATAAACATAAATATATTTCTCATAAAATTACTGAAAATGTGTATTATAACCTACTAGTATGAATGTGAATAGCTTAAAAACAATAAAAAACTTAATAATAAAGTCCAGTTTTGATTGAAAGGAATCAAATAATTGGGAATAGAATAGAATAGATCACAGGGATGATGGGTTCTGATAATAATTATTTTAAATTATAGAATATTCTAGTATTTTTAGGATATTTAATAGCGGCTGATTCGAGAAAAATTTTACACTAATTAATGTCTTAGATTGCTTCAATTGGTATAGACTTTGGGAGTCAAAGGTCAGTGATTGCTGCTGCTCTTAGAGGAGGTGTAAAGATTCTAGACAATGAGGGAGCTCATAGGGAAACATAAAATGTTATAGGATTTACTGCTGAAGAACGATTTATTGGAGAATAAGGAGCACTGCAATAGAAGTCCAATTTCAAAAATTCTATTGGATTTTTTAATAGATTTCTAGGAATTCAAGGAAAACAAGCATTTCTAGCTGAGGAAATGAAATGGCTAACAGTTCCTACATCAATCCATGAATCTGGAAAAACACTATTTGAGGTGACTTACCTTGGGTAAAAGGCTAGATTCACTCCTGAATAGTTAACAGGCACAATGCTAAATAAATTGAAGCACATTATCTAATTAAACGACATTAATATTTCATCAAGTAATGTGTGTATAAGCGTACCTGCATATTATACAGAATCTGAAAGAAAAGCAGTTATTGATGCTTGCAAAATAGCAGACATTCCACTAGAGAGATTGCTGAATGAAACTACTGCAATAGCTATTGATTATGGGCTGTTTAGAAAAACAGAGTTAGATCCAAAGACACCAAGAAATGTAGCATTTGTTGATTTAGGTCATTCTAAATTTTCAGCATTTGTTGGATCGTTTTACAAAGAAAAAGTTTAAGTTTTGGCCTAAGTTTGTGAAAGAAATTTAGGAGCAAGAGATATAGATTGGGTTTTATTTGAGAAATTTGCAACTCAATTTGAAATAAAAACAAATGGATTGAGTGTTAGAAAAAATGCTAAGGGAAGACTACGATTACTAGAAGCAATAGAGAAAGCTAGGAAGGTATTATCTGCAAATTCTGAAGCTTAAATTAATGTTGAATATTTAGTTGAAGATGAGGATTTTAATACTCTAATAAAAAGAGATGAATTCGAATAATTAGCTTAACCTATATTATTGTAGATATAGGCACAACTTAAATTGTTGTATAATTAGGTTTAAAACTTAAAATTATAACTGCATTCAGTTGAAATTGTGGGAGGAGCAACTAGAATACCAGCTGTATAACGATTGATTGAGAAGATATTCAAAATTGAATAAGTTTCAAGAACTTTAAATGCAAGTGAATCAATTTCAAGAGGATGTGGGATGATGGCTGCAATGAGAAGCCCAAACTTTAGAGTTACTGAGTATAAAATTGAAGATTGCAATTACTATCCAATAAGGGTTGGTTGGCTTTATGACCAAAATCTGAATAAATTAGATTAAAGTAAGGGTTTAGTGAGATGCTTCCCTGAAAAATAATGTAAAATTTTGTTAGAATAAAACAGTCCAATTCCTTCAATCAAAAGCTTTACTTTATTGAAAACTCAGCCAATTTAATTAACTCTCTTTTATGATCCAGTCCCTCAAGGATTTGATCCAATTATATGTAAATTAAAATAATTTATACATCTTAGAATAAATACAGGTTCCCCCTCTTATTCCCAAATACAAAGAGCATAAAACTAATATAAAAATGTTGCTTGATGAGAATGGTCTATTAAATTTATAAGAAGTTGCATTAATAGAAGAATTTATCGAAGATGTCAAAGTACCTGTAATTTTCTAATCTTAATTTAGGTTGAAAAGTAAAAGTAAACTACTTCTGAAAAGTAAGAAGAAGGCTCATAGCAATAAAAAGATGCACAAGTATAAAAGGAGCCTAAAGTAGAAGAACCAGAATACGAAATGAAATAAAAAAAGAAGACTATATAAAGTTAAGTGAACTGCGAGACTACTTGCTTATATTCTTTAACAAAGAAAGAGATCGATCATTATTTCTAATAAGAGTGTGAAATGCTTAATAATGATAATTAAATTCATGAAACGTAATTCAAAAAGAATTAATTGGAATCTTATATTTATGCTTGGAGGGAAAACTTGAATGGAAAATATGCAGAAAATGTTAAACCTGAATTAAAGGAAAGAATTTTAAAAGAATTAGACTTTCAATATGAATGGTTATATGGAGATGGCCAAAAGACTACCAAGAGAGAATACTCTGATAGATATGATAAGCTTGTTTCATTATGTGGTCCAATAGCCACAATAGCAGATGAGTACAGACAAGTGCCTGAAGTCATATATTAAGTTTAAAAATTTAGTTTAATTTATGAAAACTTTGTAAATTCATAAGTAAGCAGTTAATTAATTTCAAAGGATTAACAATATGCTCACATTTCGTAAGAAGAGAGAATTCTTGTTTCTAATGAATTAAAATTATTCAATTAATGGTGCAATAATACAATGGAGTTATTGAAAAATGCTGATAAAACAGTTAGATTTGCTATCTCAGTTTAACAGATTAATACAAAATATACAGAATTATAACAAGTAATGATTTATAATATCAATAGAAATGTCAACCAATTGTAACTAAACCTAAACCAGAACCCATAAAGGAAGAAAAGGTTATCGATGACACTAAATAATAATAATAAAATAATGTTAATGGAAATAAAATGGAAACTGAATGATTAATTATTTATGTTATGTAGATAAAATATAAATTGGTATATTTAATTTCTAACTAACAAGTAAAAACCAATCATAACAGTTCTTCATATCTAAAAAAGGTTGATGGTTTCCTTGCTGTATTTGGCTTGCATAAAGATCTGTCACTATGTTGTGAGACGGGTCTTTAGTTGTCTATAACCATAAGAGGAGTTGTAGGTTCGTGGTATTTAGACTCCATTAATTGAAATTATGTCATTTTCTATTAAATTATAAGATTTTGTCTTTTTAATTGCTAAATATATTTTTATTTTTACTTGTAACAATTGATCATTTCTGTCCTTTAGTTTTTCAACATACTCAACTAAGTTTTACCTTTCCTAAGAGTATCTTTATTTATCTAATTTTAATGCCTCAATTTTTTACTCTTCACATCTATTAGGTTTCATGGATTCATAATTGGTTATGTAATCCATAACTCCTTACTCAATAAGTGGATGTTTAAGAGATTCTTCCATGATATCAGATATTTTTTTGGAAACATCAAGTGGCAATTTTAAATTAACTAGATTTGTAGTAATTGCTCTATGGATGGTGTTCAATAAGTTTTAAAGTGATAGCTTTTGCATAACTTATTCAATAGTTTAAGATTTAGTAATTATCTTGGTTAGCTTACTTTAGGTAATTTCTCCATTGATAATTTATTCTAATTTTCTAGAATAATCAATGTTTATTTAATCCATTTTATCCTTAAGTTAATTATTTTGATAATCATCTATATCATTATTTAAGATATTCAACTAATCATTTAATGAATTAATTTCATCAAATAAAATTTAATTATATTCTGCTCTTATATTGTTTTCTCCTCTTTACAATTTATTAACCATCTTCTCCAAACTCTCAATTTTTTAATTTAATTAAGTTATTTTGACTTGTTTTCTCTAACATTCCATTTTAGATTACCCTAATTGTATTTTGAGATCATCAATTTATTTTAAATAATTTATCTCATTCTCTTTTTATTCAATAATATTCTCTGGTTAAGAAGCTTTCTTTGATGAAAAGAATGATAAATCAATTTAAAGACAAGATTTATCCGTCATTAGACTCATTGATGGATGCTTTGATTTATTCCCTTTCTCTTAATTTATTTAAGAATCGTAATGTTTGATCAAATTATTTTCATTCGGGATATCTAAAATTGACTTTCTCTTTAACTATTCTAATTCCTGATGAGCTAATTATAATTGTAATTTCAAATCTTTTATCATCTATTGCATCATCTCTGAAGACATCTTCACATTCATTTTATAATGATTTTTGATGGATTTAGCTCTTGATGCAAATTTTAACGTGCTTATGGTTTCATCCATAGAGGTTACGTGTGATGAACACGTGACTATCTATAATGATATTTATAAAATTTCTTACTAAAGAAGTTTTGTAGTTTCCACCCAAAGATTCCTATAAAATTCTAGTCAATTTAGAATTTCTATATGGAATATGGTCATTATTTGTAGTCAATGCATGGATAACATTCCCTAAACAAGAAAGCGATAAATTAATCTTTTTAGCCTCTTCTAGGATTTCCCCTTAAGCACCAGTTTTGCCTACCTTTTCTGAACCTGCTAAATCAACTAGATTTAGTTTTCCTTTCTTTTCAGTTTCATTTGGTAATCTCTATTTGATTTCCAACATGAAAATAGTATGTGATCTAGAACTATATTAATTAATTCTTGTAGCAGCTACTTTTCTTGTCTATTCTCCTAGTTCTACAATTCTAAGCAACTCATCTTGACTTTATAATGATAATTGAGTTAGTCCTTCGACATAAATACCCTTGGTTGCACTCTCTTTTATTTTTAAATCTGGACGCTACAATGAAAGTAAATCAAATAAGGTTTCCTTATAAATTTCAAGCATTGAACAAGTTAATACAAACTCACATTCTGGATCACTTTGATTAATGTAAGTGAATATCTCTTAACTAAAATATTAAGTATAATTTAATACATTGATCTTGGTATTATTCCTTGTCCATTAGAATCTCTCAATTCTCCAAACATTGTGTATGTCTTTCCTGATCCAGTCTACCCATAAGCAAAGATAGTGCTGTTGTATCCATTTAGAACATCCTAAATTGCATCTCTTCCAACTGAATCATAAACTGTTAATTGATTGGAAGTAGGAGGGAAGACTCTATCAAATGTATGGATCACATCTGGCTAAAGGAGGACTGTGTGTATATCTGGAAAGATGCAAAAGTCTTAAGAGGGGTTGTTCTCTTCCATTTTGTTTAAAGGACGAAAGCGAGCAAAGACTTTGATATTAGAAGTGTTTTCAGACAGCACGTTTCTAGGAGAATTAAGTCTTTTAGGCATTGGAGACTTGGCTCTTTTTTTTGCTGAACTATCTGAGTCGAATAAAGCAGGGATCTTCTTCATTGTTAACTGTTAAATAAATTATTTTAATGAATTTTTGATAAATATTAAGAAAAATGTACAACTGATAGTATATGTACTAATCGATTTACACATGCAATTTAAGTTCATTTTTGCATCTCTTATTTATAATCTAACCACAAAGAGCAAATAATTGACACAAATTTTCAAAGAACTGATAATTTTTATGTTATAAAAATTTATAAACAAGTGGATTTGATTATTAAAAATAAAATATGTAATAACATGTGGATCCATCAACTTAAATTCTTAAGCTGATTACTATTCTAAACTAGAAAGGATAGGAAGTTGTAGATAAAAAACCTGCCATTTTTAATGAGATAATCAAAATCACAAAATAAGTAATTGAAGGAAAATAGGATTCTTAACAAATTCAGAGACTTCAATAGGATGATTTCATTTTGTGGGCTCGCAATCAATTATAAGATAATAAAGCTTAAAGTAATATGAGAATACTCATATTGTAGTTCGATAATATGCAATCAAGTTTTTGAGATACCTCATTACAGATTAAAAGATTCTTGGAATATACCGACAAAAAGGAGTGCATTATTTCATTGCTCGTTCATTACAAAGAGATTGTAAACAACCAACGAAGAACGATAGCACAAGTAGACAACAGCAATAGCCACAATACATTTAGTAAGAAGTTCTATAAGCATTGAAATTCTCAAATAAATGGTTGGAAAAATTGGGTGGATGCTAAAATCAAAATTTAACAACAACAAGCAAATTCCCAAAAATTTTAGGGAATGCTTTAGTAGCATTGGCAGAATCTTGTGAAGAATCTCTAAAAAGATATGCTATATTAACATTAAGAGCTTTTGCCTTAAATGCACCAGAAATGTGTAGTTGGTGTGGAGGTATAAGAATATTAATTGAAAATGCAATGGAACCAAACTTATCTGCAATATCTGACTAAATTGTATGGACTTTATTGTATTTATTAAATGAGCCTTCCGCTCGAACTACAATAAGAATGTATTTAGATTTATCAAAATGGTTTTCAATTTTTACTGAAATAGATCCCCCAATTGATCAAGCAAAAAATGATAAAAATAGAACCACAAACAATAATTTTGAAGCAAATTTGCAATTGGCAAAAAAAGCAATAATCACAGTACTCAAATCTTGGCAGGGTCTAATTTATTTAGGAGATGAAAGACAAGCTCTAAAGTCATTAATATAAGTATTAAGACAACCAATCAAACCAGCAATTAGAAATTCTATTTATGATATTTTGAAATCATTATTATAATTAGGAAATAAAGAGAACGTTGGAGTTAGTGTAGTCAATAGATAATAGTAATAAGATGGATTTATTGGAGAGTATAAAATCAATAATTTACTCAATAATTATTTAGTTATGTTAGTTTAGGTTTTATTGGACTGTGATTTATTCAAAATATTGGTTGAATTAAGTGGATTACCAGATTAAGATGTATCAGGTCCAGCATAAAGATTTTTAAAGGAGCTATCCTCTTTGATGTTTAATTTAATTCCAGATTGTCATAAATATACAGATTTTTTAATTGCTGCTGCTAATCAAAACGATCCCTTTTTATAAGATTTAAAATCATGGTCTTCTGAAATTGTGAATACTATGGGTAATTATGCTTTTGATAATACTAATAAGAAAGGAAGGAATTAGATTTCAAAATTTTTATATTAATGTGAAAGCTTATATTTGACTACACAATTAGGATTACCAACACATAAGATTAATAATGAAACTGTTGGAATCATTCGTGGATAAATTGAATAAGAGGCTGATTAAAATAAATTTGAAACTCTGTTAAGCAAATCTTATGTATTAGAGAGAAGGGAAGATAATTCAAAGTGGAATTGGAATTACATATTAGACTTATTGGAAAATTACCTATATGATGAAAATAGATATTAAGAAACAATTAAGAATAGGTTTTTAAAAAACCTTCTAACCTATTACTTTCCATCAAACATGCAGTTTTGTAAAATGGATTGGAAGCCCGATTTTATTCAAGCCAAGTGCGGTTATTTATTATTAAAATTGTTGCTTAGAGATAAAGTTGGAAGAGAAATTATTTCATCAACTACAGGAGGATATTTGGGAATAGCAAAAAGCTATATATAAGATTTAATTAGTTTATTGAAAGCAGACAACTCAATAATCTTAGGTTTAAAGTCCTCTGTTGATTAAAATGCTTAAAGACATGCTGCCCAATTCTTATTGAATCCTGAATAATACTCACAGAAGATGATTCGAGAATACATCTCTTGGATTGGACTCTTTTCCTGTTCAAAAAGTGGATAAACTATCCTGGAGAATACTGGAATATTTGCAATATTAAAAGACTATATTTTAGAAAGCGGAATCAGAGATCATGTTCTCATACATGTATTTATTGAATTTAATAGTTTAGTTAATTCACTCATTCGATTATGGAAAACAATCTTAGGCCAGGGTCTTTTTTAGTAATTGCTTAGAAGATGGATCGAACACTCTTATCAAAGCATGTCTTGATTTCATTAGATTACTATACAGAAGTGAATTACATGATTTTAATATTTGGGCTATTGACTTGTTGATAAATTGCTTAAAAAAAACTGATGATATAGGACTAAAAGCCTTATCAGTTATTGAAGAAGTGACTTAAGATATAGAGAATGCAAATAGATTTTTAGAAAAAGTAGACATTCATCGATTATTACAATTGTGTTAGAAATGTGAAAGTCAACTGATAATCATGCTTTTATCTCATAAAAAAGGATTTGAAAAAATTTATAAAGATCTAAATGAATATTTGTTAAACGAAATTGAAAGGTGGAAATAGAGTGAATGTGAGAATTATATTGAGAAGGTAGAAAAAGTGATGTGTGATGCCTTAGAATTTGTATCATCTGAAGAATAACAATACCTATTCAAATTTCCTTTATTATAAAATAATAATGAAAATCCAAATGCATCTATTGGTTTTGTTTATAAGATGCCCTGGAGTATGCTTTTGAATTGCGAGCTTGGTAGCGAAGGAAACGGTATTCTATTTCATTTAAATAGATCTCGTTTACTTGAATGTAACAATTGATTATCCTGGAACTACTAATTTATTCATATTGGTTGGAAAGAGTGATCGATTTATTTAATTTCATAGCAACAATCCTTTTGTTCTTAAACTTCAAATAAATGTTGGCAAGATTTTTGTAGACTAGTCATTTAAAGAAGTTACAGAGCCATATTTAATAAGATGTGATGCAAATGATAAACGAAATAAGTCATACGTAAAGGATAATTAATTGATTATCGAAAAGAATGGAATTTTGTTCATATTTGATTGTATTTAATTTAATCATTACTTAGAATTTGACTCAAATTTGAGATTAAATCAAATAAAAGTATATGTTAGACTAGGAGAAACCAAAAATAATACTATTAAGATGCCTGCACATATTTTTGGGGAGCTAGCATTTACAGAGGCAGGATTCAATTTGTTAAGGAATTATATTGACTATTTTGTTTAATCAATTAGAAGTACTGATGTGGCATTCCAATAAAAACGATCAGCTCTTTGGGCTATTGGACATATCGGATAAAGCAAATATGGAATTAGATTGATAAGAGAATTAGGACTAATTTAAGATCTTGTCAAAATGGCAGAATAATATCCAGTATTATCCCTTCGAGGCACATGTCTTTATACCCTCAATTTAATTTGCACAACTAGTATGGGAAGAAAGGAATTGGAAAAGTTTCAATGGATCTCCCATTTAAATTGCAATTCTGGTTGGCTATGTATTCCAAAAAATATCTATCAATTCTTCTATATAAGGGTATCATTGTAGGAAAGTCATAGATGTTATTGGGCGTTGTAAGAAGACATTTGGGATAAATATTCTAAATTTTAATCCTATTTCAAAATGAATTAAACTCAAAAGAAAATTATTGATACAATCTCTTTGATGAGCAATTCAATAACTTATAAAGAAGCTGATAAAGAGTTAAGTAGTTTGAAAAATTCAAAACCTGAGTGCTTCTAAGATGTTGATCTATTCCATTTAATATTGATGATGATAACATTTTATTAATTCTCAGCATAGGCTAAGAATAGAATTTTTAGTAATTTTGACAAGATTTTCACGTATTAAACGATCAACATTATTATCGAGCATCCAATCTATTAATAATTATAATGTCAAGAACCATTAATTATATGAATATTATAATATAATAATTGTTATTAACTAATATTTCAAATATCTCTATACCCACATCTTTATTCAGAATTATAATATATTTAAGTTAAAGAAGCAGGGTCATTTTTTATATTAAAATAGTCTAAATAATTTTCTCGAACCCTCTACTTTGAAATCCACTTTTTATCTATGTCCCAAATAAAAAATAAATATTCATAAAAGCATTTTTCAGCTTAGTTGTAGCAATAATAGTTGTGAAATGTGATTTTGGCTGGAAATTTTTAACCATTATAATTACACGCTTGCAATTAATTAATGGACTGGTTGAAAGTATTTAAAGTAAAAAAATTGCTTAAATATTGTTCACCACAATTATCTTAAGAAAAATATAGAGGAATGGGTATATTTCCTGTCTCCATTGCATGATGAATTAACATTTCAGAATTAATCCCCATTAGGTTTAAATATAATTCATTCATAAATCGTTATTGAGTCATAACCTAATCTCCCATAACTTTAGATATGTAACCAGTACATGGTTTATCAATTGTATTCTCAAAATTAAACAAATCATGTTCCTTAATCGTCAAGTATTAGGATGAATCTATAGTAAATTCTATTATATTTAAGCTATTATTTTTTGTAATGCAATTTTTCTAAAGCTTCTTTTAATCCTTGATTTCCTTTCCCTAAAATCTGAATAACATTTTCAACAGGCGAAAAGCATCTCTAAATCGGATTAAATGTCACTGTAATTATACTACCATTCTTATCTATTCTATTGATCATATAATTGTAGCAATAAAAATCAATATTAAGTTATCCAATCTGATATTGATTATCTGCATTTCTTGGGATTTGTACATTTGATTTCAATCTAAAAATGTTGTCCAGTTTAACAGACTTGTATAATCTTACTTGTAAAAATTTTACTAATTTCAATCTATTTTATTCTTATTATTATGTATATTTTTCTTAGAACTTATCCTCCTTTGTGTATTAATTTTTTTGTTTTTTTTTGTAAATGCTTTTCTTTGTTAATATCTCATAATCATGATCTATCGATTTTTTTGCCTATGTAATCATTAAAACAATTTAATAAAGATAATTAATCCAATATTTTAATATGGATAAACTTAAAAATACATAATATTCAATTTTAACATGTATTTCTGATTTGACTGCCTTACATTTACTTAAGGCATTAAATCAGTTTTCAATTTATTAAAAGATGAATGACCAAAAGATCAGAATCACTAAGCATTATAGTTAAAAAAATTTAAATTAATTTAGAATGTTTAGATAGTATTAATTATTAAATTTTATACATGCAAGGTTTGACTAACATAGGCAATACATGCTATATGAATTCAGTTCTTCAAATGCTGTATAAGTTAGAACAACTAATGCTGGACATTGATGAAATATACACCAATTCAAAAGAGAATAGTTTTCTTATTACTTATTACTTTATGGAAACATTTTTTTTGATGAACAATCACGAAATGAAGCCAGAATGGCTAAATCAATTTAGATAAGTAATTTGGTAAATAACCCCTCTATTAATAAGCTCGCAATACCCATAATTTAAGCTCAACGAATAGTAAGATGCATAAGAATTTTTACTAGCTCTTCTGGACATGTTGCATGAAGAATTAAGGAATCCCTAGTCAGGGAAAATACCTATATTTGAATTTCAATAAGATGGCGAAGTAGTACTAACGTCACTCATTAGTTATATTGAATTTGAAAAGTCCCCAATTACTAAACATTTTGGAAATATCATTAGAACTCAAATTATTTGCCAATCTTGTAATTGTATTTAATAACTTCATATATTAAGATAGCAACAATAAATTAGAAATAGCTTTCTCGCTTCTTATTAATGTAGAAAGCAGCAAAAATACAGTTTTAGAAATGCTCTAACAATCATTCAATAAAGAAGCAGTTAAAATGAAATGTCCTAAATGTGAATTGGAAAGAAGGTTTGATAAATAGACTACTGTTCTAAAATATTCAGAATAGCTACTTATTTGTTTAAATAGATACAGAATGCCTGGAGGATTAATTGATAGATGGTGGAATGGAAATGAAATATAAAAAAGCACTAAATCAATTACTTTAAATAATAAATTAATAATAGGTAAATGTGAGAAGATTTTGATTGGAATAGTTGATCATAGTGGTAGCAAAGACAAAGGACATTATCGCTATTTTCACTTAAGTGGTAATGATTGGGTTTGCTTTAATGATGCAAAAATTAATTTGCTTTGTGAACAATCAATTTAGAAATTGATTCACTAAAATGAAACTTCTTATATTTTGCTTTATAATAAATTATTATCATGATTAGATTTTCATATTATATCTTTTATAATATATATTCAACAACTCAAATTTTCTATTTTCTATTTCACATACTCAATCTAATTCTAATTGAACTATGAATTGAAATTTAAATATTTCAATTATGATTTTAAATTTTCAATTAAATTCTCCCTCAAATTTAATGGTTTGTAAAACAATTCTAAAATTTACAGTTTAAAATATTCGAAATTTTTATTTTGAAATTCTACTGCATTCATATTCTTTAGGATATTTATTCCTTGTTCGATTAATTCATTATTTCTGAGTCGCAAAAATTATAAAGCATACTAAAAAAATTCTTATAATTAATGGACATCTGCAATTGATGATTATTAAAATACAGGTTATTTCATTAATGCTTTAAGCTCCTCTATTTTATTTAATTTAACTTCTATAAATAATAATTAACCTAAACTAAATTAAAAAAGATAATGCTAAGTTAATTTATGATTATTAAATAGTTGATATTAATTATTTGCAATAACCAGAGCATCCAAATAATTTTCTTAATAAATCAATTATAAAATGCTATGATGATTTAACTCAATAATCTTTTCAATATGAAAATTTATTTTTGATAAGTACTTTAATTGTATTTCAGAGTTATCAGTATCTAAATTATATTTTATTCTAAATTAATAATAGTCAAGAAAAACATCTTTTGTTTCTAAGTTTTCTTACAGGTTAGATATTTTCTATTCTATTCCTGATTAAATTGATTCAAGAACATTATCAAATTGCCCCAAATAAAATTAAATATCAAAATTCTAGATTTCAAATTAAATTGCTTGGTATTTAGGAGGTGTAAATTCAATTCCCTTTTTATATAATTTTTCAGCTAAGCAAAAATCATTCATCAGAATTGCTAATTTAATTTATTGGATATATGATTTTGAGAGCAACCTCCTTAATTAATTGATGTAAAAATCTTGATAACTCTTGTTATCTGCACTTAGGTTATTCTCCTGTTTATTTTCTAATTCAATAAATTTTAGAGTTGATTAAATTATCTCTCCAGCTTGTTCGAATTTAGAAACAGATTATGTGTATAATCCTTTATTATATTATATTTAACCTGCAACTACTAAAGTTTCAATGTATTAATGAAGATGGACATTTTCCATGTTCTCAAAAAATTCTATCACTTCAAATTTTTGGTTATTTTTGATAATTCTATAAAAATTACAATGATTTTCAATAATATTTTTCCAATGAGATAATGATTTTTCTGCCAATTCTAGTTCTTAATTGCGATAATTAATCCTAAATTGAATGCCTGATAATTCTGCTAGAAATAACTGTTTCATTAACTCGCCTTAATATATATTCTCATAATCACCAGCTGTAGCATAAGAAATATATCTTTAGCATTAATCAAATTTACTATTGTAATAAGTGTAAAATGCTAATTAAACAAGATTTTTTCTAAATAAATAGTATGGCTATCTAATAAAAATAATTCATTAATACTTCTAATGTTGTAAGAATGATTTTAAATATTACTCTAAATTATTTTCAATAGCCACTATTTATATAGACAAAGTTTCCTTCTCTATTTAGTTTATTGAATTTAGTTGCTATTCATTTAATTCAATCAATTTATTAATATTTTACCTGACATCTTAATTACTCAAGCTGAAGTTGTAATACAATTTTTGTATTCTTTGGAATGGAATAGAAATTTAATTAAATCTAAAAATAATATTTATCATATTTATATTATAANTATTTTATTTAATTTAACTTCTATAAATAATAATTAACCTAAACTAAATTAAAAAAGATAATGCTAAGTTAATTTATGATTATTAAATAGTTGATATTAATTATTTGCAATAACCAGAGCATCCAAATAATTTTCTTAATAAATCAATTATAAAATGCTATGATGATTTAACTCAATAATCTTTTCAATATGAAAATTTATTTTTGATAAGTACTTTAATTGTATTTCAGAGTTATCAGTATCTAAATTATATTTTATTCTAAATTAATAATAGTCAAGAAAAACATCTTTTGTTTCTAAGTTTTCTTACAGGTTAGATATTTTCTATTCTATTCCTGATTAAATTGATTCAAGAACATTATCAAATTGCCCCAAATAAAATTAAATATCAAAATTCTAGATTTCAAATTAAATTGCTTGGTATTTAGGAGGTGTAAATTCAATTCCCTTTTTATATAATTTTTCAGCTAAGCAAAAATCATTCATCAGAATTGCTAATTTAATTTATTGGATATATGATTTTGAGAGCAACCTCCTTAATTAATTGATGTAAAAATCTTGATAACTCTTGTTATCTGCACTTAGGTTATTCTCCTGTTTATTTTCTAATTCAATAAATTTTAGAGTTGATTAAATTATCTCTCCAGCTTGTTCGAATTTAGAAACAGATTATGTGTATAATCCTTTATTATATTATATTTAACCTGCAACTACTAAAGTTTCAATGTATTAATGAAGATGGACATTTTCCATGTTCTCAAAAAATTCTATCACTTCAAATTTTTGGTTATTTTTGATAATTCTATAAAAATTACAATGATTTTCAATAATATTTTTCCAATGAGATAATGATTTTTCTGCCAATTCTAGTTCTTAATTGCGATAATTAATCCTAAATTGAATGCCTGATAATTCTGCTAGAAATAACTGTTTCATTAACTCGCCTTAATATATATTCTCATAATCACCAGCTGTAGCATAAGAAATATATCTTTAGCATTAATCAAATTTACTATTGTAATAAGTGTAAAATGCTAATTAAACAAGATTTTTTCTAAATAAATAGTATGGCTATCTAATAAAAATAATTCATTAATACTTCTAATGTTGTAAGAATGATTTTAAATATTACTCTAAATTATTTTCAATAGCCACTATTTATATAGACAAAGTTTCCTTCTCTATTTAGTTTATTGAATTTAGTTGCTATTCATTTAATTCAATCAATTTATTAATATTTTACCTGACATCTTAATTACTCAAGCTGAAGTTGTAATACAATTTTTGTATTCTTTGGAATGGAATAGAAATTTAATTAAATCTAAAAATAATATTTATCATATTTATATTATAATATTTGCAGCGGCATTTTAATAGTCTACAAGAATCACTTAAGATTTTAAGATGCCAATAGTAAATTCAGATCAAATTAATCCTTGGTTTGTGAATGGTCAAAACCACAATGAAGCTTTTGTTGATTGGGAAGGAAACCGAGTGCGGTAATTTGACACATCTAATTAGAGTAATAAAACCTTATAATGTTCATATTTCAATTTCCAATTAACAAAAATAACACTGAAAATTTCAACATAATCTGAATTTTATCCTTTCATTTAGGAAAGTCTTTAGCTTCAATTTCCAGAAGTAGATGAAATTATTTATACTTTATTACCAAAGTCCTCATATTAATTAGCAATTTGAATATAATTGCACTCAACAAAATCAGGGAATCTAATAAATTGATTTATTTTTTATGGAATAAACATTAAAGAATAATCCCTAAAATTTAGATGAGTTAAATTAGATTAGTATTAGGTATTATAAATTTTGCTAAAACCCTCATACAGCCCTAATTGATTTTAAGTATATATTAGCAGTTATATTAATATGCTTTACAACAATTTTTAGTTCTCTGTTGAGCCTTAGAAAGGGATTTATAAAATTTGAACTTACTCCAACTAAGTAATTATTGACATTTATACTCAATCAGTTTTCCTCAAAGCTTAGTTTCAACAAATACTTCCTTGTATTATAAAATTGTTCTGCTTATCTTAGTCAATTGAGTAACTATAAAATAAATATAGTGTATAATTCTAGCCAGTAAATTCTAGATATTTTTATTGATTTACATTATTTGGCTAACTAAAGTTTATTCTTTGGTTCATCGTACATAAGTTGATGCTAATTCTGAATTTCTAAGATATGCCTGCTTTCGTTCGAACTAAGTTTTCATTTTTTAATAGCTAACGATGAAACTATGGTAATAAAAGTAGTATTTGAGATTAACTAGAAACATTGATATCCATTGATATTAAATAATTGGGTTATCTTTAATATCGTCATTCATCTTTCGATATGGACTATTCAATAAAGAACATATAATAAAGATTATCGTTATTGCCATAAACTAATTTACTGGATTGATATTGTTTGATCTACTTTATCGATATAAACACAATTCACCATTTTTAACGCTTATTACTGGATTTATTCTGCTTGGAATGGTTTTAAACTATTTAAGAACAGGGTATCTTGAATTCGAGACAATAGAAGAAAAGATTAAGAAATGAGTTATAAATTTATTCAGTCATATAGTCATTTCAGGTTTATATGCCATATAGTTCTAACAATTTACATTGTAAAGAATATATTTTAAAATTCGATTGCTATTATTTAATTGCCTTATTTTAGCACATTTTCCTTCAAAAATTAACAACAATGACTAAACCTCTCCCAATATATTTAAAAGTTTTAGTAGAATTTCCCCAAATTTTTAAACTTTACATATCATTCGGCCTCTAAGAAGCAATCATTTGTTTTTAAAACTATTGATATATTCGAGTCAAATTAGGTTCAAAAAATACTAGCTGTGTGTAAATTAAGGAAGAGTTATCATGAAAGGCTTTTACTTCCAATGATAAGTTTACTATCTTTTTATATAATTCAATTATCAAATGAACGATTGATGAATTAGGCTTTTTATAATGTTAGGCTAAAACAAACTTTGATCCAAATGGCAAACCAAATTTAATTGTCTTAATGATATAAAAATAAGTTAGATGCAACAAAATCACTTTTTATACTTAAAACCGTTAGAATTTAGATATAGTTTGAATTTGAAGATGAGAAAATTATATATTCGAAATAATAAAAATCATAAAAATGATAACTACAATAAAAGAAAATTTGAAGTTTGTATATATTTATAACATATTAAGATATATTAAACTTGTAAGTTTTCTTGGTTAAATTTATTTAAAAATCCTGATTAGGAGATTTATTCTAACTAAGATATATATTTGAACAATTGAGAAGTCTTAGTGCTATTTCAAAAAAATAAATTTTAATATATTTAAATAAATAGATGAAAAGAAATTTTTTAATTTTTATTCATCTATTACAATAAAATTGACTTTGAGACTTTAATTTATTACAATCGCAAAAGTACAATTAATTAAGAATTTTCTAACAGGTTACCTTATTTTTAATAAATAGTACTTCCTCAAAGAATAGATCTTATGAATCTATTTGAAGAAACCTTGAAATTTTAGATTTAGTTATTTCAAAAACCATAAATATCCTGGCTATATCCACAAAAGGTTCTAAGTAAAATAAGTAATCTCTTTGTAGATAATTTTTTTAAAAGAGGATACCAAATTATTTATATAAAATGCATAGTTCACTCTCTTCTGATTAAGATTTTTCAGTTCTTCCAATAGGGAGAATTATAAACCAATGGAATGAGAAGATAATTAATTGACCATTATTTTTACACCTTTTGAGTATGGATAATTAGTTCTGGTAAATTGATTATAGAGAGTGATGACATGTATTATTATTAATATTAGCACACATATACTAGCAAATTCCTAAATGTTTAATCTTCGTTATAAATTTCTCTAATCTTTATTTTAANCTTTAATATCGTCATTCATCTTTCGATATGGACTATTCAATAAAGAACATATAATAAAGATTATCGTTATTGCCATAAACTAATTTACTGGATTGATATTGTTTGATCTACTTTATCGATATAAACACAATTCACCATTTTTAACGCTTATTACTGGATTTATTCTGCTTGGAATGGTTTTAAACTATTTAAGAACAGGGTATCTTGAATTCGAGACAATAGAAGAAAAGATTAAGAAATGAGTTATAAATTTATTCAGTCATATAGTCATTTCAGGTTTATATGCCATATAGTTCTAACAATTTACATTGTAAAGAATATATTTTAAAATTCGATTGCTATTATTTAATTGCCTTATTTTAGCACATTTTCCTTCAAAAATTAACAACAATGACTAAACCTCTCCCAATATATTTAAAAGTTTTAGTAGAATTTCCCCAAATTTTTAAACTTTACATATCATTCGGCCTCTAAGAAGCAATCATTTGTTTTTAAAACTATTGATATATTCGAGTCAAATTAGGTTCAAAAAATACTAGCTGTGTGTAAATTAAGGAAGAGTTATCATGAAAGGCTTTTACTTCCAATGATAAGTTTACTATCTTTTTATATAATTCAATTATCAAATGAACGATTGATGAATTAGGCTTTTTATAATGTTAGGCTAAAACAAACTTTGATCCAAATGGCAAACCAAATTTAATTGTCTTAATGATATAAAAATAAGTTAGATGCAACAAAATCACTTTTTATACTTAAAACCGTTAGAATTTAGATATAGTTTGAATTTGAAGATGAGAAAATTATATATTCGAAATAATAAAAATCATAAAAATGATAACTACAATAAAAGAAAATTTGAAGTTTGTATATATTTATAACATATTAAGATATATTAAACTTGTAAGTTTTCTTGGTTAAATTTATTTAAAAATCCTGATTAGGAGATTTATTCTAACTAAGATATATATTTGAACAATTGAGAAGTCTTAGTGCTATTTCAAAAAAATAAATTTTAATATATTTAAATAAATAGATGAAAAGAAATTTTTTAATTTTTATTCATCTATTACAATAAAATTGACTTTGAGACTTTAATTTATTACAATCGCAAAAGTACAATTAATTAAGAATTTTCTAACAGGTTACCTTATTTTTAATAAATAGTACTTCCTCAAAGAATAGATCTTATGAATCTATTTGAAGAAACCTTGAAATTTTAGATTTAGTTATTTCAAAAACCATAAATATCCTGGCTATATCCACAAAAGGTTCTAAGTAAAATAAGTAATCTCTTTGTAGATAATTTTTTTAAAAGAGGATACCAAATTATTTATATAAAATGCATAGTTCACTCTCTTCTGATTAAGATTTTTCAGTTCTTCCAATAGGGAGAATTATAAACCAATGGAATGAGAAGATAATTAATTGACCATTATTTTTACACCTTTTGAGTATGGATAATTAGTTCTGGTAAATTGATTATAGAGAGTGATGACATGTATTATTATTAATATTAGCACACATATACTAGCAAATTCCTAAATGTTTAATCTTCGTTATAAATTTCTCTAATCTTTATTTTAACTATTTTTTAAAAAATTTTTATCTCGTAATTGATTTAGAAGATCTGACTCAGATAATTTTGAAAGATAATTAAAAAGATGATGAAAGTTACAATTAGCTATTTATAAATTTAGGGATATAATTTGAATAATTATGTAAAACGATTAGGAAGACAATCAATATTGATTTAATAGACTCTGTTGTTTTAAAATTAGATCATATTCCTTGGTGGTAAATAAGTAATCTATCTTATTTACATTTTATCAATTGTCTATTAAGAGGCTCTCAAAACTAAGAACTAATGATTAGGTATTAAAGAGTAAGTGATTTTGTTCGGAAGTATTTTTGGAAAACCTATTAAATTTTCAAACTATCAAATGTATTACTTCCTTATATATATTTTCTAAGGAATGTATTTCTTTATTTGTTTATTATTATTCGTGTGTTTTGCCATTTTTCTCTATAAATCCTCTAACAAACATTAGACAAGAAGATTTTTTTATTCTTAACATTGTTTCATATGAGTTCAATAAGTGCTAAGTACAATGGTGATTATTTTTTTAATGCTGATCATTGATAAAATGGGCTTAGCTTATTAATCAAGTCTCACATCTATTGAAGGTTCCTTTTTTATGTGATTTTAAATGTAGTCAACTCTTTATTATTTTACCACGTGTAATACATCCTTGGTTTACTCTAAGTTTACCTATCCAGCCTTACATATTCATGATGAGGATCACTATCTTATGCTAGATAAAAATAATGCTAATAGTACTATTAAAAATCTGATAAGTGTGCAAGTTGAACTGCTGCAGCACTTGATTGCGATGCACGCCTCAATTCATTTTTAGTAGAGGCTCTTGCAATTAATGAGTTACAGTATTGAAGGTGTGTTGTTATGGCCAATGTGAATTAGAACAATTTTGAGTAGTCATATAATGCACAATGTGTAGCCTCAGTTGAATGCCTTCCCAATTTGTTACAAACTGAAAGTGTAATAATTATGTAAGAAGTTTAATAGAAACGCTACGGCTTTCAAGTTATGCATAAATAAAGGAGAGTATTCCTCAACATATATCCATCCTGTACAATGATGTAATGAAATATGATAAATGGTTCCTTTACTTTTTGTCTATTGAATTTTGAATTTCTAATAGGTTTTAATAGGAATATTTGCATATCTTATCGAGGTTCTTTAAACAGATAGTATGCATCAATTTTTCGTAAAATCTGTGGAGTCGATTATCTGATGGGTACAAATGATACTTGCATATGTATATTAAGCAAGACTATGAGGGTGGAACTCGAAAATACCTTATTACTATGAATGTTTCATTTGCAATCACGTAAAAATATCATAAGATGTTATTTAATTTTTTTTCTTTAAAGCCAATTCATATAGAGTTTGCAGTAGGGAAGATAGAAGCACGCAACTGCATTCTTTTTTTACTTCCTTAATGTAGAATTTATGTGCTGCTTGTGTCTTACCGTTGCTTAGTACATTTTGAGCTTGCTTTCTCTTATTATTACTAGGGACAATTGAAGAATAACTTATTGAGCCTGTTATTCTACCTGGTCCTCAAACAGTTTTACAATGAACCATGTCCCAAATTGTACATAATAATTCTGGGTTTCATCAAATTGGCTAAAGTTACTTCTGTCTAAAGTTCATAAAGCAAAGCCAGTCCAGTTGTGTTCCTGATCGTTTATATTTCTCATATATTGATTAGAGTCCTTTGTATTTCTTAAATGTCCTATCTATCATTATCACCGTCCAGAGTTACGTGATTACTATGTTGCATTAGCAACCATCGCTTATGTCCAAGGATTCATTTGAAACACTCTCCTGGATATTTCACTTAGACCACAACTAATTTGAACAAAGTTCAAAACAATGTAATCAAAATTAGCAAAATGAAAGAGCGATGGAATCACAAAGGCGTTTTGAGAGCATTACCTTTACCTGATTCTTAAATTAAATTTGGCAATGCTAACAATCAAACATAAATTATTTCATCCAGGAATTGCTAATTGTATACACAAAGGAAAGTAGTAGAAATGGCGTTATAAATTCTAATGTTGAAATAAGCAATAGAATTTCTCATTAAATGCAATCCTTAACTTAGTCCTTACTATAAATTTTCATTTCTCCTGGTTTATCTCTTAAAGCATGTTAAGTCAATGCTCAAATAATTCATCATCAAATTCTGAAGCACTGCACATTCCTGTTCATTCGAAGTTTAAATTTAGCTTATCCTTAACGATAAGATAATGGTATGAAAGTTAACTCATGCTTTAAGTATTTGCAAATACATTACCAGTTTCATATTAATTTTAAGTATGGTTCAGTGATTTTGATATAATCCTTTTTCACCCTTGCCAACATCAGCCTTAAAACCAACCTTCCTAAATTAAAATGCCTTAAGTGTTTTAATAAATCATTAAGCATCGATATAATCACATTTTATGTATCCACAGATTGTATGCAGTAAAATTATGACAAATACTGCTTACATAAACTTGTATATAATCAAAAAATGGTTAAACTTTTGAATGAAAATTTTATGCTAATAAGATTTATGAGATTCCTGCTGCTATGGTTCATTAATTTTCGATAATATTCAACCATAATTATCCTTCTTCACCACCATTACCTAACACTTGTCTTATAATCAGTGAACAACTACTTAAAATGCTTTAAGTGATGCACTCACAACCTTTGTTATTTTCATTTATATGTTCAATTTTTATTCTGTTCGAAATCATTAAATCTTGGAATTTTCAGACGTTAATTGTTGAATAAATTAGTTGTTTTCAGATGCTCATCACACTCACCTGAAGTAGGACACATCCCATTTTGTGATCAAATCTTCTGTGCATTTGCTAATTTACATTTAAATAAAAATTTGTGATGGTTTCCTCCACTAACCTGTAATGTACGAAACTCTTCTTTTAGGAGATGTATTGGATAAGCAACCAAATGTGATAAAGACATTATTCGATACAAGTTACTTTACGTAAGTTATTTACTGTTACTGTACTTATTCTTTCCAGAATTTAAATTACATGAAGCATGCTTGACCTTAATCTTATAGATACTTACAATATTGTCCAACATTCACTGATAATCTACATTATCGGCTACTATTTATCGTTTCTGTCCAGTAGAAAGCTTTGTATACATCAAATATTATTCTAAATTTTTCTTACAGTAATGATTGGATTGGAGGTCATATATCTTATTATCCAACCTGTAAGTTTTTTAGTAAAATTATAGTTGCAATAACTTTTATCTCTCTTTCCTAGATTTAATTTACCTGCTTATCAGTTTTAGCAATCCTTTATTAAACCAACTTATGTATATACATCAGCTCCTTGCTACATTATCATACATGTGTTTAACNTCATATATTGATTAGAGTCCTTTGTATTTCTTAAATGTCCTATCTATCATTATCACCGTCCAGAGTTACGTGATTACTATGTTGCATTAGCAACCATCGCTTATGTCCAAGGATTCATTTGAAACACTCTCCTGGATATTTCACTTAGACCACAACTAATTTGAACAAAGTTCAAAACAATGTAATCAAAATTAGCAAAATGAAAGAGCGATGGAATCACAAAGGCGTTTTGAGAGCATTACCTTTACCTGATTCTTAAATTAAATTTGGCAATGCTAACAATCAAACATAAATTATTTCATCCAGGAATTGCTAATTGTATACACAAAGGAAAGTAGTAGAAATGGCGTTATAAATTCTAATGTTGAAATAAGCAATAGAATTTCTCATTAAATGCAATCCTTAACTTAGTCCTTACTATAAATTTTCATTTCTCCTGGTTTATCTCTTAAAGCATGTTAAGTCAATGCTCAAATAATTCATCATCAAATTCTGAAGCACTGCACATTCCTGTTCATTCGAAGTTTAAATTTAGCTTATCCTTAACGATAAGATAATGGTATGAAAGTTAACTCATGCTTTAAGTATTTGCAAATACATTACCAGTTTCATATTAATTTTAAGTATGGTTCAGTGATTTTGATATAATCCTTTTTCACCCTTGCCAACATCAGCCTTAAAACCAACCTTCCTAAATTAAAATGCCTTAAGTGTTTTAATAAATCATTAAGCATCGATATAATCACATTTTATGTATCCACAGATTGTATGCAGTAAAATTATGACAAATACTGCTTACATAAACTTGTATATAATCAAAAAATGGTTAAACTTTTGAATGAAAATTTTATGCTAATAAGATTTATGAGATTCCTGCTGCTATGGTTCATTAATTTTCGATAATATTCAACCATAATTATCCTTCTTCACCACCATTACCTAACACTTGTCTTATAATCAGTGAACAACTACTTAAAATGCTTTAAGTGATGCACTCACAACCTTTGTTATTTTCATTTATATGTTCAATTTTTATTCTGTTCGAAATCATTAAATCTTGGAATTTTCAGACGTTAATTGTTGAATAAATTAGTTGTTTTCAGATGCTCATCACACTCACCTGAAGTAGGACACATCCCATTTTGTGATCAAATCTTCTGTGCATTTGCTAATTTACATTTAAATAAAAATTTGTGATGGTTTCCTCCACTAACCTGTAATGTACGAAACTCTTCTTTTAGGAGATGTATTGGATAAGCAACCAAATGTGATAAAGACATTATTCGATACAAGTTACTTTACGTAAGTTATTTACTGTTACTGTACTTATTCTTTCCAGAATTTAAATTACATGAAGCATGCTTGACCTTAATCTTATAGATACTTACAATATTGTCCAACATTCACTGATAATCTACATTATCGGCTACTATTTATCGTTTCTGTCCAGTAGAAAGCTTTGTATACATCAAATATTATTCTAAATTTTTCTTACAGTAATGATTGGATTGGAGGTCATATATCTTATTATCCAACCTGTAAGTTTTTTAGTAAAATTATAGTTGCAATAACTTTTATCTCTCTTTCCTAGATTTAATTTACCTGCTTATCAGTTTTAGCAATCCTTTATTAAACCAACTTATGTATATACATCAGCTCCTTGCTACATTATCATACATGTGTTTAACATAATTATTTTTAATTTTTTCTAGACTTGAAAGGATGTTAAGGTGGAGATGTTTATGATCCATAAACTAAGATACCAATAGTTCTTTCTTAAAATATAATACCATGGTGTTACAAAATTTCCTTTTGATTCAAAAGATTCACATTTAAAACGCATTCTAGAATGGTGTAGTTCAAATGTGCGACTATTGTAAATTTGCATTGGTAAAGAAACTCTGACCTCTAAAAGTATTAACACTGTTGATACCTTCAAAAGTCTAGCTGCCTTTGCTTAATGTTCCACTGTGTTTCATATAATGACAAACTCATCTAAAAAGTGATTCTATAATTCGGAGTTCCACAGTCACTCTTCTCACACTTGCTTCTTGCACTTATTCTTTAAAATACTAAATTGCAAATAAATTTGATGCAGTAGAAGATACACTTTAACATTTTTACAAGTCGCACTTTGGAATTATGACTAAATCCTTCATTTATAAAAAATATTTAAACAAAGAATAGCTGTTAGTTAAATGAGTGCTTGAATGAGAAATATTAATATACCATAAATATTAATATGAATGATGAAGTATTTAAATAATTAAAATTTTATTATAAATTTGTATCAATAAGAATATAGAAAAATAGCACAAAATTTTAATATAGTATATAGTAGGAATTCTAAAGAGCAAATAAAAAGTAAGCTGACAAAGCAATAATAATGTTATAAATAATTTCAAAAAATTGTGATTTTGAAATTGTAATATTAAAAACTCGATCGGCAGTTAATGATATAAAAATAAATGAAAAATAGAAGTAAAATAACAAAAGTCTGTATTGTTGAGCTTATATATTAATAAAATATTCGTTTCTAATCTGTAAATAATTGTCAGAAAATGTATTATTCTCGTTTAATAATAGTCATTAGATTAAAGTGAGTGCTAAAAATTTGTAAATAAACAATGATACCTTTAACTGAATTATAGATAGAGTTCTGTGGTTATTTCTAAATTGCTATATTATAATTATACAAAGCTTCATCAAATCTGGTCAATTTTGTTAGAGTACTTGCTAAATATAATACATTTTGAATTCTACCTTTATTAGCATAATATGTAGAATCTTCTGGATTTTTTTATATTGCTGAATCATAATTTTCTAAAGCGTCTTCAAATCTGTTCATTTTATCTAATGTATTAGCTAAAATATCATTCATTTTGAATTATACCTTTGCCATAATAATAGTCAGAATCTTCTGGATTTTTTTATATTGCTGAATCATAATTTTCCAAAGCTTCTTCAAATCTGTTCATTTTATCTAATGTA